TACTCGTATGTTTCACAACATCGGCCCCATTCCAGATCTCTAAAACGTTTCTAACTTTACGTCAGAAGACAGTACAAACTGCTTGTTTTTGACGTATGAGGTAAAGTTCTATTTCTGCTAATTTTCAAGAATCCATATTCCGCTTGATATGAGTGACATAATTAAATAAGTAATAATTAATAATAAATAAGTAATTAATTAAGAATAAAGTTACCAACGAGCGTGGTTTGCTACATTTGAAAACCAGAAATATTTGCTTCAGGTTAATAGAATATATTTCCAATCAAGCCACTGAATTGATTTGAAAGAATTTCTAAAGAAATAACTGACACCATCCTCATCTTGCATCTTGTCAAGTAAAAACCTGAGAATTCTTTCCACAAATTCTGAAGCGCATCTTCAGATGTAAAAAAATGGGTTCATCTCATGATTTGCTCAATGCATTAATGAAAATTGGATGGAAATATTGATCAAGGTAGAGCTATTGGATGATTTTCCTAGATCAATAGGGCTTGAGCCATGTGAGGTCCGTGTGAGGCTCATGGCTCGGGTCTAAGGATTGAAGCGGGACGGAAGGAGCAAGGCAAGAGCCCACCAAGTGGACCATTCTATGGTGGTGCTCGTTCAGGCATACGTCTGAAATGGATTAGTAAAACCACGGAAGTATCGTTTAGAGTAATGTAAGTACCGCATTGACCCAGACTGGGAAGGCTCTCGGTTCGAGTTCCGTGTTTGTCGTGGATTTCACCACGTGGTTGTAATTGAGTGTTCGGCTCTTCAACCAACTCGTATCTCATCACTCATTCTTCTATCGTCAACATACCACCGTCAACATATCCCATAATCATTCTGTTATCATCTCAACGGAAGGAAAAATGTAAATCGCCATTGTGAACACCCACTCAGGAAGGTTGGAAGTCATACAGTCGTAAGCTTCCTCGCCCGCCTACCATGAGTGGTGATATTATTGCTCCCATTATATCACGTAATAGCTCACTCACGAGCCTTCCACTCTGTGGCCCGTTTCGATCCATGCAAAATTGTGGGGAGGAGGCCAGCTCTCATCAACATTTCTCGAAGTTCTTCCGTTTCTTCTGTGCCTTATTCAACCGTTGCCTCATCATCGTTATTACTAGACTATCGTCGTTAGACCACTCATGAGCATCAGTGATCTCAGAAGTGCAAGGTTCTTTAAACCCTAATAAATAAATAAATAAATAAATAAATAAATAAATAAATAAATAAATAAATAAATAAATAAATAAAGTAAAATAAACCAAACATGTAGCTCACACTGTCCCTGAAACTGCACCAGCTCTCTGTTTCTGTGGCAGGCCTTCGCCTTGTCCAGCTAATTCCCCGCGCGAGGCAATCTCCCGGTCGCGCCCTCGCTTTGCAGCCCTCCCGCGGGGTGGCAGTTTGTTCGCCCCGCACTCGTTCCGCGGCGCGGAGGCGACGATCTCTGAGGCGGGGTGGCCTGCATTATTCATCGATTACGACGCCTGACCCGAATGCCCGATTGCCGACTGACTGCTGCGAAGATAATTAGGGGCGTTTAAAAGCTCTTCGGGGTGGGGCGGAGGTCGGCGCTCCGCTGAGGCGCTTAGCGGCGGAGCCACATCTACGTTCAAGGGAAGAGCGACTCTGGGAAGGGGCTGGTCTTCCCCGATTGAACAGACGTATTCGGAAAGTTACTCTATTCCGATGGGAAATGTTGAAATCGTCAAACTGTCATTTCAGTGCTGATTGTTCTATTAAAGATTACATACATTTATTTGAACTGCGATTGGATAAGACCTAGTGAAAGTTAACTGCAATAATAATAATAATAATAATAATAATAATAATAATAATAATAATATACAGTACAAAACTAAGATATAATAATCATACTACCACTAATATTAAGTATTATAACAATTATTTTAACTCTATCGTGGTATAGAAGTATAACATGCTGGTGATAATAAAAAGCAATACAAGCTAAATAGATATTGCCTAAATTGGACTTTTTTAAATAACATTGATCGCGTTCTCTATACTTCACTGTACTACAATATACAGTTTCGCTTTGAATTACATTAATCGGTATTTTATTTCACTTATTCACTCATTTAACATCTATTTCTATTACCCTCAGCTGTTCTAACTTATTTTTAAAAATTCGGACACTTTGAGGGAAACTTTGAAAGTGGTTGTAGGTAAATTGTTCCAATCTCTTAATTGCTCTGTTACAAAATGAAAATTTCGTTTCCTTGTTCTAATTTTTGTGGGTGTTACCGTTTCGACCGTAAAAATTTGTTTTCTCTAGTCTAAAGCTGAATATTTTTCCGAGGTGACCGACCCACGCACGATTTATAATGTGCACAAATCCTCGCCCTTGTTCCATTCGTTTTTCTAGCAACTCCCGTGACCTTTTATGGGATTATCTGTGTTGGTGAACTCATTCGCTTTCCTCTGTATGCTGTAAGATTTTTCCGGTGTGACTTTCTATACGGGTCCCAACACCCCACTCCGTATTCCTTGAGAGGGTGACCTAGCGAAAAATATGCTAACGCTTTAGCGTTTGTTGAACTTTCCTTTTGTATTCGCATTCAGAAATACAGGACGTACACATTATTTTCACCACCGGATTTAAATGCTAATCCAAACCTAATTTACTGTCCATATGAATGCCTAAATACTTGCATGATGAGACTCTTGGACCACACCTAAAGGATAGTTTGGTTCCTCATAATTTCGTCTCAGTCCGAACGTAATTGTTTTACTTTTAGATCCATTAATTCCCATGCCATTTACTTCAGCCCAATCATTTTACTGTTCTAAGTCCTGTTGTAATAGTGTTGGAATGAATCATATCATATTTAAGTGAAGAAATCTATACTACAGTTGGTGTGCAGACGCACTAACAATGATGCAGAAGGTTTTTTCAGATAGCTCTCCTCTTTGAATTTCTTCCAATCTAATTTCCTTGTTAAACGTTTAATTTGATTTTTCAGCTCTTTATCTTCCTTCTGAAACATATGTTTTTAATGACACCTCAAGTAACATTTTATTTTTCATTTTCTATTTTTTTACATACCACTTCAGCTAAATAAATACATAAAATCGGAAAGTCAAGCTATTTGATCACGTAAGATTCTTTATATCACACCTGAGCTTGAAGTTCAGTGCTACTGCCTGTTACTGACTGCAACAACCTGAACTACTTGAACTAAACTAAAAGCACAGCATTGTGTATTCCCGCCAGTCGTTCGTCCCTCATGAGTAGCATTTCCTAAGAATCTTTCACGAGTAGCATCTCCTTGGCATCCCTCGTGTGCCGGGAGACCGGTCGGAAGGTTAGATCTTGTCTAGAGCGGTACACTGCTGCAGCTGGTGAGAGATACCTAGCTGGGGAAACCTGGAAAACCTGGATAACTGGAAACCTCGATGAAACATATACTACGCTTACGGAACTAAAGACCTTAGCAGATGACACGGCCGAAACCAATAATCAATCAATCTATCAATCTTCATATTAGATGTCGCTGCTTCGGCCACCTAATACCCGCTTGTCCGTGGCCGAAGGAGCCGCATTCGTTTTTGTTCCCGATTGGTGCCTCTTGCGTCACGAACACGATTTTTCCGCCTCGTACCGTGACGGAGAAATAGTCTGTCCATGTTCATTTGTCGCCCCGCACCTCGCAAACTTAAAACTTTTTGATTTCTATGAACTTATAACAACAGATTGTGATTTTAAAATGTCATAAAAAATCAATAAAATTAAAATAACAGACGCTAATCTATTCATTAAAACGTTTTGAAAAACGTATAGCGTCTTTTTCAATGCTCGTTGTACAAGTGATTTTCTTACATCTTCATATATTGCATATCTTTTTTCTTCTCCATTAGTCGATCTCATTTCACCTTCAAGTTTCCTGTTTTCAGAAAAGGTTGCCTGTACATAAGCAAGCCGACGAGGCAAAGAAGTAGAGTACAAGTCCCTCTGCGTTTGGGCACACTAACTAATCCAGTCTGGTTTGTCTAATAGCAGGATGAGCGAAATAGAGTACCACCAATATTATTTCTGTAATATAGAAATGCTATGCTGTTCTCATTCCCCCCAATATGAACTAAAGAAGGATCAGGAGAATTTCATGGAGGTCTGAAGAATTGCATTCTACTGCATTAAGATTCGTTTTTAAGCAGTAAACGGTATTTCTTGAAGTCTATCATGCTATACTTAAAAGTGTTTCGGCAAAGGGCCTTAAAATCTGGTTTTCATAGCAGAAGGTCAAGAGTTATATTCTTACCATAATCTGCAAACTCTTGAAAAAAATTACATTTGAGGGGGTTCGGCTTCACTTGATATCTTCATTCCGTGATATGCATGGGGGGTACAGTATCCCAAATAGGGAGGCGTGCATTTTCTGAAATGTTAATAAAAGCGTCCCGCTAACTAATTTTCTTTACTTAAACTTATTTACGTGAGGGGAGGAATAAGGGTCGGGTTTCATCATCAGAGTTCTCGCGCGGATATGTTAGTGGTTTATTAAATGGGACATCATCAAAACTCAATATTGTAAATGTCCTTCCTTTCTGGCATTCTAAGAAAAATCTTTTGCATTTTCATTTGCATGAACCTTCAACTCTGAGGTCACAGAATCAAAATGTGTGTATGCAATTGTTTGAAACTATTTTCTATTGGAATGAATTTTTGATGCATTTTCTGAACAGTTTTAATTAAGAAGATTCGATATTCATTACATACTTACACAATATAGATACATACAGACACAACACAGTTAGATGTTGGTCAGTAACTTAGTTTGCCCCCAAACATTATTTTAACACAGATTTCTAAATCTTGTCAATCGAAATCTTTCGGAAAAAATAATTATTCTGTCTTGGTAAAGATGAAAAATGAGAAGTGATTGCAACCGTGATTGTAACCTATTACATTTAATGAAAGTCATTTTCAAATAGTGCACCGTTTCTTCTTCAAGTGAGGAACGTGGTCATTTGCAGGGAGAGGGGTGGGGCCGGCGACGTGGGAAAGCGAACGCAATCAATAGGCGCGAACGCAAACACCGACCCTTCGCCTGTGTCGCTGGCGCGTGACCCGCTGTCTCCGCCGGGCGTCGACCCGCGGCCTTCCCCGGCCCCGACTCTCGTATCTACTCTCCTCCCTCAGTCCTCAGCTCGCAGCGCTCAGCCCTCTGCCCACCACCCTCTACTCCATCCTCCGCTTTCCGCCTTCCTTCTTCATCCTCTATCTCCCACTTTCTATTCTGCACTCTCAATCCTCCAAACCTAAAATTACAATATTCGCCCTCAATTCTCCATCATGACCTCACCACCCTCTATCTCTCCATCTACCATTCTCTACTGTCCACTTTCTATCCTCAATCTTCCACTCCCCACACTCCATACATAATCCTCCATTTCGACCATCCATCCTCCAAACTCCTCACTCCATCCTTCATATTATATTCACCACTCTCCATCCTTCACTCTCCACAATCCCTCCTTCATCGTCCATCCTCCACCCTCCATTCTCCATTGTCCACCTTTCATCCTTCACTCTCTCCACTCCATCCGGCATTCTTTATCCTCCATCGCTATCCTCCATCCTTCATCTTCCGTTCCTCACTCTCCACCCTCTATCCTCCACTACTCATTCTCCCTCTCCCATCTCCCGACCTACATTCTGCACTTTCCCCCATCCACTCTCAGTCCTCCGCCGTTCACCCTCTAGAGACCCTGGTTGAACCGAGCGACGCTGCTGCCTGGCGCGCCAGCACAATCGATTGCGTCCACGCGACAGCTCGATCCAAGCAGCGCCGCACATCCTCGCCTCCGCACCGCTGTGGAGGGGCGTCATCTGCTGTGACATCCGTCCATTCCTACATTCCCCGTCTCCAGCCATACTCCGTTTGGATTCCGCAACACGCTAAAACAACGACAGTACACCCTTTATTAGCCTCTCTAAGACTTTCACTAGCATCCCTCTCTCCTCTCCACCCCTTCCTCCGTCCAGATGTCATATCTTCCTTAACCTAATTTCTCTCCCACTTGTTTTCAGAGATCCGCTGTTGTGGCAGTCACTTTTTTCCCATGTTATCACATCGGAAATTTATACTCACTTCTAAGGCAAAGATGTTGACTCTCGTTAATGGCTAACAGTCACATTTCATACTCCACGTCCACAAGCAAAAACTGCATTTTTGCCATCTCATCCCTTCTGTTCCCTATGCAACTCGAGACACTCGATTCATTGAAACTCTGCATTCCCTCTGTAGATCTTCAGCCTATCTTTGGGTTGAGCGATCATTTCTCAATCATCTCTCTCTCCCTCTTTATTGTCCTCGGGAGCGACAAATACTTAGCTTATTAATCCCGCAACTAGAGTGCATGTTACATCCCGGAAGGTGACGGAATTCATCCTCCTAGCACGTGGTTCCTCATGGTGCGTAAGGGGCGACAAAAGGACAAAGATGGGAAGCGAATATCTCGTTCGGTTTGTGGCTCTTTCTTATTGTCTTCTGCATGTTGCTGATATTGATCAGACAAAGCACTGAAAACTACTTATCAGATCAACTAAATGCTAGAATTTTCCCCCAGACACAGCAGTTGAATTGTACCCAGCTATGTAGTCAAAAGCTATTACGTCAAAAAATCGCCACAGTCTGAACTCAATCCGAAGTCTTCCCACTCACCTATGCAGCAGAGGATGTGATGTTCCTGAGTTATCGCATCTTCTCATATTGTTGTGTTTCTTCGATGTCTAGTTTTCATTTCTACGGCTCTTCATCTGTCTCCACCTGTAGTAGCTAAAACCTTCCACTCGAAGTTACGTTGATGTTTTCTGATTATGCTACGTTGATGCTTTTTGCTACGTTGATATTTTCTGATTATATGTTCAATATAAAAACCTTACTTAAATTCAATATCTTTTACGTTTCTGTAATAAGAAGGGGGGTATGCAAAAAAATTATCTTTTTTCATAAAGGTTCAGAAAAACTGAGTGCTCCAAAGATTATTTCTATGCAATGATGACTTAAGTTTTATTAGCTCAGTCGTGCAAGTAGTTCTTTATTCCTATATAATATCCTTTGAAACTTCCAGAGTCAGAAATTGCCGTCCATCACCAGCAACTGGTCGTTGTAGAGTTGCGGACTGTTTAAATTTTAAAGATTGGTATAAATATGAAATTGTATGAGTTGTGAGCCTTAATCGAGTCACATATCTCCAGTGACTCTTCAGATATACGCAAAACCTCTTTCGAAAAATGTTTGCAATATTGCAACGCTGTTTTTTATTAATTTTCTTTTAATAAAAATCGTATAAACAGAAATTAAAAGCGGTAGCACCTAAACTAGAACACTCTCAGAACGGAATGGAATAATTCTTCCCCACAAACAAACACATCCTTCTCTTTGCGTTCGCAAAGTTTATTTTTCAAGTTGAAATTCAATATACCTTAGTTGTTTTCAATTTCCATTTCTGTACCTACGTCAATATTATGGGCCATGTGTGCAGCCGCCTGCAATGTGTACCGCGATCCGCGGCCACTCAGGAATAGGGAGGCGCGCTTACTTCCGTGTGATGAACAGCCTCGCCCTGCACTGTTCTAGCTCGGATGCACTTTAATCGGATCGACAGCCATTACCCCGATGAGATCAACGGAGATACCATCTGGTGGTCCTTCATTTAAAATATGATCCAGTGTGTACTCTCCTAATGAGACGGAAATAATGAAAAGCCAAGGGAAAATCATAAGCAACTAACGATGTAACAATGAAAGCAACGCAACGTTGGGATGCATTAATAGAAGTAATGCGGAAGTAATAATGTAATGCAAATTTAATTGCACATAATCCTTTACGTGATACGGGAAAATTTACGAGGAAACTAGCCACGTGTGATTAGTTTAATCAAGCTTCAGTTGGAGAGTAAAAATTGTTGAATTCAGATACATTATGATCAGTGGTGCAACTAAAAGGTGGAGCCCACTCTAAAAGCAGCTTAAACATATTCCCAAATACATACGTTTTTACTACTTTTCTATTGTAACGAATATCATTCAATATCTCAATTGAATAGTTATAAATGACTATAAATCAGTAGATAAATGTATATTTTAAATTCAACTAATTGAAATTTTCTTAATAAAGAAGCAATAAGTAAGCTAGCTCTTCAAATAAACCCTTGTCTCACCCTTGAGAAAAATAGTGGTGGCGCCAGTAAGATGAACAGTTGTGACAAAATTTAGCCCTTTTTATCCTCAAAACAATCAATAACTTTTGAAAACAAAACAACATAAATTCAAATGCATGAACAAATTACAACTGCACGGACAACTATTGAAATAGGATATTGTGTTTTCAATATGATAGTCACTGAACAATTGGAAGAAAGTTTACCCTTCCTTTGTAAATGTTTGTTTGCCAACTGCGTACGTTACGACGAGATAATAAGTTACAAGCAGGTTAAAAGAAAATAACAATATTTGTCTCACTGAATTGGGGTAATAATGTGCCCAAAATACAACAGATACCTGTACAACAGGGTATTCATATTTTATATTTGTGACAGTTGATTTACTGATCAATACACTTTTTTTTGCCAAAAACCTAGTGAACAATTTCATGGTTTAGGTATGTATTCACTATATACGTATGAGACCTATTTTTATTTGGTAGCAGCTCCTTTTTAAAATCGTAATTTAGTGTTCTCTTTGACCAGTCATAACATTTAACGTCATGCATTTAGCGGTTTTTTACGATATGCATTTAAGTAAATCATATGCTGATGTAACGAGATAAGACAGTAATTGTTCATTCTTATTTTAGTATGTATTCACACTTAATTTTTCGTAGATATTTTCGTACATGAAATAGGCTGTGAACCTGTTAACATGAACATCTCCAGCAAAGTAACCTTTCAATTGAGTATTACATGGTGTTGAATATTGTTTTGTTTTGGAAGTATTTAAACATTTTCAGGAAACATCTTCTATATTTGTAGCAAAATACCCCTCAGATGCGAAATTTCACGTCACTTGTAAACGTCGTAAACTTTACTCTTGTCAAAACCACCACGCAACGGAATAGCTTTGTTAAAAGCTGGTTCCCGAATGTAATGCAGGATTACATTTGGTAGTCTGCTTACTTGATAGATCTATGATTCATGTCACGTGTCATTAAAGATTTCATAATTTATAAGGAACTCAAATATCATTTATTTTAACACTAATATATACGTATGTATCTTCTTCTTCGGTCCTGTCTTCCACATAAGGAAGTTAAGTGACCCATTGTGCGTTTTCTTAGGTTAAATTACTCAGGGTGGTTTCTCGTTGCCGTCCTAGAGTTTTCAACCCACGCTTCTTTAGAAACCTACCTCCGACACGGGTCAGGGGACCGGGCACTTCCATAATGCGCTTGCAACTTGACTCTCACTTTCTCAGCCAGATGTAGATCTCAGTCAGTATATCCGAGCTGTCTGGGGGAATGTGAGATCTCGTCAGGGCAGATGTCGTACGTTTTTAATTTTGCTGGGCACACCGCCCGGGTTCTTTTTACAAGGGTGACATGGTGAATTGGTACTGTGAATTTTCTGTCCTTCGAAAATCCTGGCACTTCGGCCGGGATCAAACCCGCTCACTAGAGGTTCAGAGACTAGTAAGATAACCACTCACTCACGGCGGGGCCTAATAGATATACACCTCAAGCAAATTATCATATAGTTAAGTACCTGAATTTGTCATGTACAAATAGACCTGTCGAACCCAGACGCCTGTCTGAACAGGTTGAATATTACCTCTAATAATAAGGTAGTACCAAAGTAAATGGAGTTATAGTATGCTGGTGACTACTATTACACCCACGAAAGTGATTTTTCGGGTTCAAAATGTTCTCAAGAAATACTGTGACTTTGTGGGTAAGTCAGAATGATCAGTAGGTCAAATATAATTTTGAGGAAGAGAGCTAGTCCCTCATTGTATTAAACAGGCATATTGTTATCTCCAAAAAAAGTACTTTCGTAAAATAGATTTATTTCTGCCTCACACCCGTACAGAGTATCCATATCCAAGTCAGGTCTAACAATTTCCTGTAGATGTACCGGTAAGTGGCCGTTGTCCGAGAAGAAGCCGAGGCACCGAGATATCCGTCCGAGAATGAGAGAGTCCGTTCACTGCGCTGTTTCGTTACCACTGTTCACTATCCACTGGTGTACTCGTCACTGCTGGTGGGCGCTCTACTCCCCTCTGCCCGCCGGCGCTTTATAGTCTGACGGGGCAGCGGGTTCGCTGGCCAGCCCCCGTATAGTGGTGGTGCCTCCTCTCTCGGTGTTTGGTCACGCGTGACGGCGCCGCGGCGGCTGCTGTCGCCGCCCTCTGTTGAGCGGCACCGGTACCCGATTCTGGTAGCTCTTTTAAAGTTGCGCAGTCGACCACTGCACATATAAGTATCACAAAATATCGTTCCTCTCGTGCCCCATTAAGGTGTTTAAATTTTATTGGATACGTAACATAAAGCTTCTGTGACATTTTCAAAACTTCCAGGAAAATGGTTGTACATTTTATCCTTACTTTTTTTCCTCAAACAGAAAAAAGTTCGTTTATAATTGTGCTATATCCAATTCTGGTTGAAACTTCTGACATTTTGAAAATTGTAAACATATGTATATTCTAAACAATATGAGTTTCAATTTAAATTGAATTTGAGCTTTCTACTCAAATTTTATATTTTTTGCCTTAAATAAATAGCAAAGAACCTCAGGTGTTTTATCGCTTACTAATATTCACCGGCTGAAAGTGTTTCCTAAATTTTTAAAAATATATTAAAAATAGTAGAATAACGCTTACGCGCTGCCATTTGTTCATGCCGTCGTTTATTTAGGCCGTCATTATGCACTTGTGTGCGTTACAATTCGTCTATTGAACGCAGTTTCTGCGTGTACAGCGAAGCAAGTTCGGGAGAAGTTTGATTAAAGTTAGCGTAGCGAAGACTGAAACTTCATGTTCGGAGATTAAATAGTT